GCACACATATGCACATGTACATACAGTCTACCAGAATACGGCGCACCTCCTGTCGGCCAGCCTGAGCTCACTCTACTTCGAGGCGGCCAAGGACCGGCTGTATGCTGATGCGATCCCCTCGCTCAGCCGGCGCAGCGTGCAGACCGTTCTCTTCCATGTACGTCCCAGCCTTTTGCCCCCGCCCTTCCCCGGCAGAGGAAGAGCCGAAGGGAGGCGGCCCGGCCTGCCGGTTGGAGCCTTCTTCTGACCCGGAACACCGTTTGTCCCCGCCTCCGGCATCAGATTCTCCACTCGGTGACGCGCGTCCTGGCACCGATCACGGTTCACGGCTCGGAGGAGCTGTTCGACCACTACCGGCGGCATGTGCCGAACGCGCCGGAGTCGGTGGCCCTGCTCGGCTGGCCGGAGCTGCCGGCCGAGTGGCGTCTGGCCGAGGATGCCCCGCTGCTGCGGGACTTCTCCCAGCTGGCCAAGCTCCGGCTGGCCACCAACCGGGCCCTGGAGCAGGAGCGCCGCGACCGGCGCATCGGCAGCGGCCTGGAGGCGCGCCTGACGCTGGACCCGGCGCCCGGTTCGGAGCTTGCCCGGATTTTGGACACCTATCGTGCGTAGATCGCTGCCTTTTCTTCCCCCTGCTCTCTCTCTCTCTCTCTCTCCCTCCCTCTCCCCCTCTCTCTCTCTCTCTCTCTCTCCCCCCCCTCGGTGTGTGGATCTCGCCACAGTGGACGCCGCCGGTTGCTACAACGCCAAGGCCCCGGCGGCGCTGGTCGGCCTGCCGGTCATCGGCGCCGGCTCCGGCAGCGTCATCGACGACCTGACCGCGCGGGGGCTGCTGCTTCGGACCTCCGAGCACCGGCACCGCTATCCCTTCGACTGGCGTGCCAAGAAGCCGGTCATCATGCGGTGCGTGTGGATGTCGGGGCCTCGGGCGCGATGGTCTGGCTGCTGCTCATTTGGGTGATGCTGCCGCCGCCACCGCCGCCGCCGCCGCCGCCGAAGAGGGGCGGGTCTTCAATCGCCCCCGGCCCCCTCCCGGCACAGTGCCACTGACATGCGCGGCTCGCCCGCCTGCTCTTTGCCCTCCTTTCCTGTCGGCGCCCCCTCCTCCTCCCCCCCCCTCCCCCGTCACATCGCTCGCAGTGCCACCGAACAGTGGTTCTGCCGCGTGTCGGATCTCACCTCCAAGGCGCTGGAGCAGTTGCAGACCGTCAACATGGTTCCCCCCTCGTGTGCGTGGAGCCTCTCCCCCTTTTTTTTTTCGGCCCTGCTGCCCGACTCTCGGCATGTTGGCATCCGGCCCGTGTGACTAACCGGCCTCCTGTGCTGTTGGGCTGCTGGCCTGTCATCCCCCCCCCCCCCCCCCCCCCCC